GTGGCACTGGCGTGGGGTTGTGGTGGGTGGGGGCATGGTCAGTGATGGCCATGTGAGGCTCCTCCGTTCCAGCCAGGCCATGTGGCCCAGGTGCTCTCTCTAACCATTTGCCCTTCCTCCCCAGTGGCCTGATCACGCCAGGCGGCTTCTCCTCCGTCCCTGCCGGCATGGAGACTCCTGAGCTCATTGAGCTGAGGAAGAAGAAGATAGAGGAGGCCATGGATGGGTAAGTCAGGCCTCTGCCTTGCTTGTGCCAGTCTGCTCCCCCCCAGGGAGCAGGACTCGAGAGAATCCTATGGAACCCCAGGGGGCACCGTAGTGTGCACTCTGTGCTGGCCCTAATGCCCCCATGTGCTGTACTGCAGGGAGTGGGGTGGGGCTCAATAAGGGGTGCAGACCCTAGCGTGAGCCAGGGCGTGATGCTGGTGATGCTGTTATTTTGGAGGGCTCTGTCACTTACCTTCCCAGTTGGGGCTCTTAGTCCTGCTCTCTTGGCCCAGTCTCAGCCCTGCTGTTTCCATTCTGCTTTCCAAATCCCTCCTGCTGTTTCATTAGGGCCAGACACTCTCTTCTCCACTTCCTATCCCAATCTGCTGTCTGGCTACCAAACAGCCCACCCCAGAGGTAGCTGCATCTCTGCCCCTGTGGCACTCATGGCCTGTTGTGCTGATCCTGTCTCTGTCCCCCTTACCCACAGCAGTGAGACGCCCCAGCTCTTCACGGTGCTGCCAGAGAAGCGAACAGCCACGGTTGGGGGTGCTATGATGGGTTCCACTCACATCTATGACATGTCCACGGTGAGTGACTTAGGCCAGCCAGCCAGGTGAGCTCTGGGACCTGAACCAGCGACGAATGGCTTGGCGGGATGGGGGCCTGTACTGCCGGAACACACGTATGCTGTCTGGGCCCCTGGAGCAATTGTGGTGACAAGGCTTACCTGCATGGGAGGGGCTGTGGGGTGGCCCTGCCCATTGTTGGCACTGGGAAGGGGCGGTGGGGTGGGGCTGCTTGTCCTTGGCATGAGCACTGGTCTGTGTTCACTAGTGATCTGGAGCAGGGAGAGGGCCAGCTGGGCAGGGGAGTCAGGTACTGAGGGTAGTGGGGCTTGAGGAGTGGGCAGCATTGGAGCAGAGAGAGCTGGAAAGCCATGGTGCTGGGAGTGGGGCAGGACTCAGCTGGATGGGCTATGGAAAGGGGTTGAGCAGCATGGAGGGCAAAAGGTGGCCCTTGGCTGCTGAAGGGCCAGGCTAGAACTGTAGTTCAGTGAGACCACGCAAGCCCAGTTCAAGTGCATGGCCCTGGCCTTCCCCACTGCAGTTGGCTTGTGGGACTCACTGCCCACAGGGTCTCATGGTGGCTGGGAGGCAAGCAGGGTCTGGGTGTTTCTGTGGGAACCCTGGGCATTTGAGGCGAGAACTCTAAATGCTTCGCCTGGGGGAGATTGTCCCCCCCAATAAGATAAACCAGGCTAGCGTGGCCCCTGGCTGCTGTTCCCTGGGGGCAAGGGCTCCCCCCTCCCATGCATAGTGCTGGCATCTCACCCTTCTCCTCACCTGCAGGTGATGAGCCGGAAGGGGCCGGTGCCAGAGATCCAGGGAGTGGAGGTGGCGCTGGCTCCTGAGGAGTTGGAGCTTGATCCGATGGCCATGACCCAGAAGTACGAAGAGCACGTGCGGGAGCAGCAGGCCCAGGTGGAGAAGGAGGACTTCAGTGACATGGTGGCTGAGCACGCAGCTAAGCAGAAGGTATGGGGGGGGGGGGGGGGGGGGGGGGGGGGGGGGTGGGGGGGGACATGGGGCTGAACCCTCTATGGGGTACCAGCTCCTATCTGGCCCCATAGGGTAGGGGGATTGATTGGCTCGGGGTCAGTGAATGGAATACAGAGCCTGTCCCCTCTAGGGGGTGCCAAAGCTCCTGTCCAGCCTCAGGGTCCGGGGACAGACTGGGTCAGGGAGGAGGTTGTTTGTTTCCCTTGCTGGCTGAACTTTTTCTCTCTCTCTCCCCACCCTGCAGCAGAAGAAGAGGAAAGCACAGCCCCAGGACACGCGTGGGGGCGGCAAGAAGTACAAAGAGTTCAAGTTCTAGCCCCATCCCCTTGGTTTGCATCCCTTCTGTTTTTAACCCACTTGTTCCTGTCCCTGTGCTGTGGGGAGAGCCACACTCGCTGGCACCCCCTGCTGCTCAGCCCCCTCCAACTGTTTTGTGGTTTTTTTTGTAAATAAAATCCTGGGTTCTGGGGCGATACCCCTGCCTGGGTTCTCGCTCAGTCTGGTCCCTTGGATCTTGTCTCTAGGAGGTGAGCACTGCCTCCTCACTTTGCTGTCTCAGGATCCCCATCAATCACTGCACCTTCCCCTTTTTGGCCAAATGCTGTGGGGCAAGTGGAGACAAGGGGGCCATGCAGCGTGGGCTCCTGGGAATCTTGCTCCTCTTGCAATAAGCCACACTGTGGAGACTTGGACGTAGAGCTTCCTGTTGCCTGGGTGCCAGGCCTTGGAGTACAGTGATCTCTGTGCACTCTGCTTCCGGTTCCCTGCTGGCTCTGTGTGGGGCTCTGCCAGGCAGGTGAGATCTCCAGGTCTATTGTAAAAAGCCAGTGGGAGCAAAGGGGTAGTTGCCTTGTAGGGCTGTACTTTGCGTCGTAATCTCCCCTGGCAGGCCCCCCTCTGTTGTAGTAAAACTGTGCTGTGAGCTGGGTCACTGACCTCACCCCAGGGCTGCAGCCCCTCCCATAGTGTCTCAGGGCAGCCCTTGCTGCTTTGGGAAGCACTGGCCCTGGGCAGAGGGGACAAGGGGCAGCTGCATATGAAGCAGCACTGCCACCCAGCCATCTCAAAGTGCTTGCCAGTCATCCCCGTGCAGCAGGCAGTGACTTGCCATTGCTCTGTGTGACCATGGGCCAGGCAGGGGATAGAACCCAGGAGTCCTGCTAGACAAGCAACGAGCTAGAAACATCAGGCTGTAGCCTTTGTGCCATAGCTGCAGGCTGATGGCCCAGCTGGCCACCTTAGTAGGAACCAGCTGTCCTGGAGCTTGGGGCAGTGTTGGCTATGGCTGTTTGAGAGGGGAAACTTTTCCTTGGCCTCAGCACAGGTGATCTGTGCCCTTGCCTGTGCTGGGAAACCTGGTTCTTGTTTCACCCCAGGGTGCGCTGAACCATGGGCCCGTCCAGCCGGCATCCCCCACCCCAGGCCTTCTCCTCTGTAGTGGCTGGGTAGGTGGGATCCAAACTCCAGCTCCTTTCTGTCCTGATGCCGGCACTTTGCTTCCTGCTGATCCCAGCAGCTGCAGCAGTGTGGCATGGCAGTGCCTGTGACTTTGGCACACTCACTGCAATGCAGAGCAGTGGGCACAGCACAGCCCTGGCACAGGGGTGGGGTTCTGCTCTGCTTAGACAGGAGCTTTTGGGCACAGGGAGGGATGGCAGGGGAACTGGGCTTCCTGTTGTCCCATCATCTTGACAGTGGGGGGGGGGGGGGGGGGGGGGGGGGCTGTGGGGTGGGCGGGGGGGGGGGGGGGGGGGGGGGGGGGGGAGTTTAGGGGCTGCCTTGCTCAGCAGCTGGGAGTGTCTCTAAAGCTGCTCAAGGAAAAGGGTGCTGCTCCTCCTCCCCCAAATCCCCAGCAAGCATGCAGGTCTTTGCTGTGTGCCTGAGAGAGGGGACTACTAGTAGCTGCCTCACTGGGGTTGAGAACAGAGCAAGGAGCGGTGGATAGGTCTTGCTGTCTAGTGCTGGGCTGGCACTTGGCCATGTATGGCACTGAAGGAGCTGGGGGCATTCTTTCCCTGGGGAGAGGCCCCCACCCCTTTGCAGTAACCAACCTTGCCAGCTGCAGCCTAGGGCTTGCCCCCTGGGGAAAGCAGGTGCTTGGCACAGCCTTGGTGCTTGCCTAGCACAAGGTGGCTGCAGGCCAGAGCTCTGCTAGCCATGTCATTTACATGACCCCCCCCAGAGCTGGGGAAGGGAAAGCTGAGGCCAAGTAAACACTTTGACCTAACGCTGCCCTTTGGTGCTAGCTGGGACCTGTGCAGCAGGCTGGCTACACGGCAAGGGCTCAGACTGGGTTCCTATGACCCTTCTCTCATGCCCTCCGTTCTGCCCCTGCAAATGGGGAAACAGCTGGAAGAGCTGGGGCTAGACCTCTGGACTCCTGCCCC